TGTGTGTGTGTGTGTGTGTGTGTGTGTGTGTGTGTGTGTGTGTGTGTGTGTGTGGAGACAGAGGAGAGAGCAGACAGTGTGAGAGACTGTGTGTGTGTGTAATATTTTATCTTAGACAGAGAAAGACATACAGAGAGAGACAGACAGAGACAGAGAGAGAAGGGAGAGATGGAAAGAAGGAGAAATTGAGAACGAGAGAACAAGTAAAGCATTAATTTTATTATCCTATCTTTACTCCGCTGACATTATTCCTTGCAGCAGAAAAGTTTGAGGTTTGGTTTCGAATCAGGTCAGGATTGTACAGTGAGGTCGTCTTTTCTTGAAAATATCTCCCTGACAGTCAATGATAGGATGCGCTCTTTTCATGCAACCACTGATTCAACAAATTTAAAATAAAAAAAATGTAATATTTTTCTTTTTCAAAATGGTAATTGTTAACGTTTTACGCCCCCAGTGTTACAATTTAGGCTAACCAGGAGGGGGCTTCTTTGACTTTGCCTGTCAGGACCAACACACTCCGAGTTGAACTCAGCATCTCAATCGATGGACGGAGATAGGCCTACTTGAAGTAAGAACATAAACGTTCTCTCTCGGGAATCAAACTCATGCCGTCTGCGTGCAACTACGATGATAAATGAACAACCTATTAAAGTTATTCTCTAATGATTATAACGAACATTAAAAATACATAACATTTCACTCACCCGAAACAGCGCAAAAGGCTAGACAGAAAATAAAAACGCGCGAAAGCATCCTCTCTGAAATGTCTTTGGTGACCTCCTGGAGTGAAGAAACTGGATCTAGTTGTTCTGGCTGAGACAGAAGAACTTGGGACGGCAGATCTGTGTGAAGTGATGTTTATATATATATCTTACGTTAATCGGGCAATTTAATAATTGTTGAGGCGGATAATCACGCATTTCGCACAGAAGTAAATATTTTTATTGGTGCGCTTCGCACAGAAGTAAACATTTTAATTTTACGTTCTCAATAAAGACTAATATTTGGCAATTATTTACAAACTAGCTGGGCCCCCTTTTGATGACAGGAATGAACGGTGCATTAACATCAACTGAAGAAAGTCATTGGCCTACTATATTTACACTCTACTGGAATGGAGCAGCAAATCTTGAGAGAAAAGTGACTCATGTGTTTCCAAGTTGCGCAATATGTATAGATTGATTCTTGATTCCGCTTTCGTGGTTGTACACTCCAGAATTTCAAAGGTGTGGAATCATGAGTGCGCGCGGCTAGTGAACGGAAACGTCATTTTTTTTTACAATGGCATCTTAGAAGACGGACTTTTCCAAGATTAGATCTAAACGAAACTAATGAAAAACTGACAATTAAACTACAGTGACTTCAGGTTCCTCAATAAAACTGTGCAACCTTTAAATGATTCTGAACTACCATTAATTTTGTCAAATTCAAAAGTTAAATGGTTCGGAAGTTTTAGGATGCCAAAGTGACGGACTTCCACAAATATAATATGTAGAGATTTTAGTACTTGCACCAGTTCCACACCAGCGTCTGTGGTGTAACAGTTGGACTCTTCTCTTTCGCACCCAGGAGACCCGAGTTCGATTCCTGTTTCGGGAGAATTTTTATTGAGTACAATGTGTTTCGGCCTTTCTGCTGAGACCTTTATTCTTATCAATCTTTTCCCCCTGTCCTTATTTCGGTATCGATATTTGCAAGTTGCGTAAAATGTGTTGAATTGGTGAAAATTATTATGTTTCAAGAAGAACAAAACAAGAAAAAGGGGGATTGTTTAGTCGGTGATGATGATGATGATGATGATGATGATGATGATGATGATGATGATGATGATGATGATGATGATGATGATGATGATTCTACTGGTGCTTTATTTCTTTTTCAGCCCGGGTCGGTCCTCACAGACTCGCAGAGTCAATCACTGCCACCTAAATGATCTAAATTGCATCAATTGGGGCGTAAAAGAACCTGTATTAAGAAAACAAACAACCAGGCTTACTAATGGCCGATTGATTATTTCTCAAAGAAACAATTTTTGGTGCATTACAACCCCATCTTTTCATTGTAGAACAGGTTAAATATGTGACTCGGTCGTTCAGTTGGTAATAGCAATGGAGCAATCTGTAGGCGAGTTCACTTTACGAGAACAGGTAGAGATATAATCCCCCCACCCCCCACAAGAATTTTTTTTATGGATTAGATCTTCTATAAACAATGTTTTCAAAATTAATTTATAAAGCAATAAACAAATAAATAATAAATGGGAAAAAAGAATAAATGAATAAATGAATACAATATGAATGAATACATAAATACATACATAAAATTAAATCTAATTAAATTAAATTTAACAAAAAATAAAATCGATTAAAAAAAAATAAAAGTAAATAAAACGATGCCCTCGTTTCCAAGGGTAAAACTAGAAATACATGTAAGCCCCAGTGGTCTATATCTATGCATTGCTACGACAAAGTTGCTGAAAATGTCTTCGCTTACTTTGAAGACTTAACGAGGTGTGAGGGAAAAAAAAACAACAACAACGGCAACCCCCCCCCCCAAAAAAAAAA